TTCTTTCTTTCTTTCTTTCTTTCTTTCTTTCTTTCTTTCTTTCTTTCCTTCTGTAGTGTACTTACTACTCAGTTTCCAAAAGACTCTGAGTAGCTTACAGTAAAACAGAAAGCATTAAAATAAAATAAAAAACTAATTAAATTCCCCAAACTATTGACATCTAGTCTACTGACACACCAAAGCAAACATTACCAACAATAAATGTTCCCTTCAGTGAGGGAACTCTGTATATGATCTTCCTGAGCTCTAGTAAGGTTGGCATTGACCTAATCTTGGACGGAGCATTGTTCCAAGGGATGTATAAATATGACAAACATAAAGGAAATATAACATACCTTGTATTAAAAGGAAGAGAGTAACCAAAGACCTATTTTGCTGTCCAGGACCTGTTATTAGACATCTTTATGTTCTTTGTTTTTCTTCTCTTTTTTATTTTTAAATTAGAGACTCCATTAAAGAATGCAAGTTTTGAAATGGAGGACAACCCTTTATAAAGTAATAGCCATCTTGGCAGGGGTGGGATTCAAATTTTTTAATAACCGGTGCTGTGGGTGTGGCTTAGGTGGTGAGTGTGGCTTGGTGGTCATGTTATTGAGTGGGCATGGACAACTCAACATCACTCACATCGAGGCACGCATCTCCTCGCCTGGCCTCTAATGACTATGGGGATGCTGCAACAGTTGTAAGTGTGAAAAATGGTCATAAGTCACTTTTTTCAGTGCCATTGTAACTTTGAATGGTCACTCCACAGAAGCAAAGTACCAACAAAGGAGGGGAAAAAAACTCCAGAGACGTTCCTGAGACAGGAAGTCTAGTCCTGCCAAGAATGTAATAAGGGTTAATGGAGAAAAGTTTCCGTAAGCAACACCAGAATGTTTCCTTCCTGCCTTCCTTACAGGATTATTCCAGTAATTTCTTCTAACAACCGGTTCTCTGAACTGCTTAGAACGTTAACAACTGGTTCTAGCAAATAGGTGCAAACTGGTAGAATCCCACCCCTGCATCTTAGCCTATAAGAATAGTTATCTATAAAGTGGAGTTTTCCCCAAAGGATACTCTTTATATATGTGTACTTCAATGTCCAGAATTCTCAGTAATGACTGTGCTGACTGGAGAATTCTGGGGTTTAAAGTCTACAATCTAGAAATGGCCACATTTGGGAAATTTTTCTTTAAAGTACTGTATTGCAATTTTCAAACTATTTGCTGTTGTTGCACTTTTGATTCTGTGTCGCATTAGTAACTATCCTCTTGATTTTGAGTAGTGAAACTAGTCAGACCTAGCCTACTCTTCTCAAGGTTTACCAGAGTACAATTTTCAAAACTTCTATTCAATCTGGACAGCACATTTGGCAGATACCAGATTGAAATCGCTGAATTTAGGCAAGGGAGTCATCTGTAGTGAATATCTTAGTACCAAGAAGCATTTATTTGCTTATTTTACAAAACATATTTTTTCTAAAATGTAGATGTTTTTCCCAGATACAATTTAACCAAAATAATAATTAAGGAAATATAGATGTGAAGTTTGAATGCAAATTTGGTTAATGATTGTTAATCATAATTGGAAATCTTCAACTGAACCGGGCTTACAAAGCAACTGTTATCCTAACTATAATTTTATATGATATCTAAATGGACAAAGATACAGTGGTTATAGTTGTTCTGTCACCCTAAGGGTGTCGCACTACAGTATTGAATTATGAGCTTATAAAGCTGAATAGTGTGAGAAGATGGAAAGCTATAGTAGAGAAACCATTCTAAGCCATGGTTTGAATAGTAAACCATAATGAATATAATCATGGTCAAGTGAAGATGTCTGAACTGAACAGTAATTCTTTTGGTTTCTTAAAGGCCCAAACATTTAAAGCTTTGTGGGGGTTTCTGTATTCTTCAGTTTGGTGATTTTCTGGCAGATGTTTCATTACTAAACTAGGTAACATCATCATCAACTTTCAAATATCAGATTTCGGATATCAAAGTTAAAGCTTTTTTTTTTATTCCATATGTTGGCTGAGTAGGAAGTAATATTTATAGGTGTATACACACACACACACACACACACACACACACACAATATGTACATAGCAAATATATGGGTATATATATATATATGCCAATATTCAATTTCCAAATTCTGTTTAATATCCTCTTGAATATCCTGTTGAACAGGAGTGCTGATTTATCACTAGCTTATCAAATATTTAGGAGGCAAGGAAGCAGCAGAAGCAAACAGCAGCCAAGGACAGCATCAACACCCCAATTAACATCTAAACATACAACAGGCACTCTATAAATACCACACACAGAACAGCCTGAAGCACATACTCCACTAGAGAGAAGTTCCCTGAAGTGGGGCTCTGGTATAAGTCCGAAAGCTCAGAAGACAAAACCTCTGGTTCTAGTGACCAACCCCAATTGGATCCTGCAACATTATCCTGGGAACACGTATATTTGCCTTCATTCTTATTGAATATACCATTGCATCAGATGTAACAATCATGTCAACGGTCATATTTATGCAAAATACTAGATCATGGTTTAGGATTATAAAACTGAGGTTCAACTCTCTTTCCTTTCCTCAGGCTTGAATGCAAAGAAAAATTGGGAATTTCTACTTGCATTTCAGACTAATAGCACTTAGCACTTTGTCATTTGAACCTTAAATACAAGTTAATCATTACTGTGCTTTGTTGGAACAGGCCATTTTCAGAACTTGCAGCTTTTTACAGTTGGCCATTTCAGATAGTCCATATTTAAGGATTACTATGCTCTGTCAGGTTCAGATTACATTGTAAATTTCTGTTCCTTTAACAAAGAGGTTTTCAATTCTTCCTTTTGATTGTGTGATAACAGAGAATAGACCCACAGGTGTATAGAGAGATGGTTAACCATAATTTATCACTATGCTGGTGGCTGTCCCATTAAAGTTCCAAAGCTGCTAAGTAACTTAGTTCACTGTTCTCCAACCTTTCCATTTCAATGGAACAGAGGAAATGGCGGCGGTAGGATGGTTTTGCAGGTGTGTATGTGTGTGTGTGCATGCCACTTTCACAAAAGTAGCTTCCTATGCATGTGTCACATGCCCTTGCACTCTCCAACACTTTCACATCCTGGTTCTGAATGGGCTGTGGCCCAGGAAAGGGCCACAGACTGGGGATTGGGGGACCCCTGACTTAGTTGACTGAGTCAGTTCTCCTTATCAGTTTTTTGTGGAGAATTTAGAAGAGATAGATTCATTGTGTAAGCCACAAGCAAGGTCCCAATTGAGATTTTGATTGACCGTTCCTAAATCCTGCCAGGGAATCTCTGGCCTGAAAAGGTGGGAAGTGAAACCAGCAGGAATGGAAAACTCCCAATATAGCAGTTTGAAATGGTTAGCAGAGAAACAAATTATGGTTAAGTCCCAGATTGTTTTGCATGATTCAAGTCATATGTGTGTCAGCATACAAGGAGAACAGTTTGAATGGAATTTTTTGAGATTTCTAGCATGCTGTCTGCATATTTTATTTATCTTATTTTAACAGGTTGGTACTTCATTTATAATATAGTGGATAAAGTTTCACAAAACACAGCAGATGGTTTCATCCATCCCAGTAACTCTTTTCTAAACAAGCCACATTGCAGTTTAACATAAAGTGTGGATTTAATCATTAGATTACTCTTCTTAGCGGAAAATGTACTGTACATTTCCACCAACCTCTTTTCTGAGTAAATAAGCTGCAATATTGGAAGTTTTCCATTCATGCCTATGTATGACATTCCACACCAGCCTCTAACTTCCCTTCAAAATTTTCTATATTTTTACAAACTGGTGTTTGTGTGGACACTCCACTAATAAAGGATATTCTCAGTCAGTCCTCCCCAGCCAGCAGGGGACTTATATGTACAGTAGAACCTCTGATCATGACCATAATTTGTTCAATAACTTTAGTCGCAACCCAATTTGGTCGTGACCTGAACCTAATTTTGGAAATTTGGCACTTACAAAAAAAATGGTGCAGAAGGGGAAATCAACCGCAATTTTTTTTTATGAAGTTTAAATTATAGTGGGTAATTGGTTAACAACATGACATTTCCCATGATTTATTGCGAATGAAGTATTGGTTTAATTATGGGACTCAGTGCTGGACCAATAGCCACATTAGTCTTTTGTGGTAATAGAAGTTATGGTTCCTGCTCCAATATATATGTTAATTTAAGAATGTTAAGATGATTATGTATTCTCTTTGACTATTATGGTCATTATATTTTTTCATCTAAATTTTAATTGACTTGTCAGATCTCAACTGAATTGTCATATTGCTGCCATTTTTGTGTACTAATGAGCCTTGTCTATTGGAGATAATGATTTATACATCCAAGGAAATTAGCTGTAGTTCTAGGAACAATGAATCTTTTAAGGCACAGCTACATAAGGAATCTAATAAGCCACATTCAACATGCTTCTCCACCCCAATTTTTCTATGGGTCTTGACTCTGAAATAAAGCATGGCAGAACACATACGAAAACAAATGTGAGACATAAAACAGGTTTTGGGAATAGATTTAAAAAAATAAAAAAAGGAAACAAACCGCCTCATCCAATTGAGTGTTACAGCTTCATTCATTCATTTATTTATTTATTCATTAATTCATTCAATTTTTATGACAATTTTTATTGCAAGCCACCCAAAGTTGCTTTGCAGAATAAGATGGGAAGCAAATAAATTAAATAAATAAATACTTTTGATGCCTCTAGCCACTTTGATGTAGTAATTAGGTTACTGGCCTACAAACCAGAAGCCTGTGAGCTCTAGGCCTGCCTTAGGCATGAAAACCAGTTGGGTGACCTTGGCCCATTCATTCTCTCTCAGCTCAACCCAACTCACAGGTTTGTTGCTGTGGGGATAACAGGAGGCAGGTCATAGCTACCAAAGGATTCTGATTTTGTTTTAACAATGCTAGGAACTCGTATAGCTCTTCCATATGCTGAGTATTATTTATAAAGAGCATGGAAATTCTATTGAAAAGTGCATTTTTGGAGACATAATGAAATATATTTCTGTAGTACCTTCATGTGTTCATGTATAGGCAGAAAAGCTAAGCAGGCTGGTGCTTGATTTGTATTTATAGGCTGAACAACTCATTAGGCTACAGCAATTCAATATCTTACGCAGTCTTTCATGTGTGTCAGGTAACATATTTCATAATTCCTGTGTATAATCATATGGATGATAAAAGTTTAACTCTCACACATTTACAAGACATGGAGTTGGATAAGATTATATTATCAAGCAAATCTTCCAGTCTGTATGTTTATAGTAATTTGTATAATTTACATAGCTATCATGTTGTTACATCCTCTAACCCCCACTCCTTTAACCTCAAACTATCCATTATTGACCTCACCCATTCCTAAGAGGTCTGTAAGGGGCATACATAAGTGCAAAATCGTGCCTATTGTCCTTGTCCTATTGTCCTCATTTATTTGTAACTATTTTATGTATTCTTATTCATGTTTATGATTATACGTATTATTTTGTAAGTGATTGACAAATCAAAAAATTAAAATAAATATAATTTACTCTATATTCTACTGTAGATAGTTTTCAGTACTTGGATGGAGAAAGAATGCTTCTTTGTAGATTTGTATTTATTTACTGAAATAGAGAAGATTGTTTGCTTTTTTAAAAAAATGATCAGTTTTTTTAACCAAACAGTAAAATATTTGATTTTCAAACATTCATGACCTTATTATAAACTGATTACTGTATTTATTGACTGCTGCAGGTTTTCTTTTCTTATAGGATGGTGCCCTCTAGTGTACTTCTTATGGATTGCAAATATTATATTCAAATCAGAATTCCTGAGAAATCTGGCCCCATGGGATCACAGTATAGCAATTTACTAGTGTACTAAAATAGAGATGTGGTCAGCACTTAGTCTTCTTGAACATCTGACCAACCATGCTGCTGATCCTCCCCAATACCATTTTAAGTTTCTACATGTCTCTGACTTATTGTCATTTTGGGGCAGTATAATATATATATAATATATATAAAAGATAGTTGCACATTCCAGTAGAGAGAAGTTACCTGAGAATGGGCTCCAGTATAAGTCCAAAAGCTCAAAAGACTAAAAACTCTGGTTCCCATAACTATCCCAGATTGGATTCTGCAATATTATCCTAAGAAATCTACATTTGCCTTCGTTCGTGAAAGGTAGTTAGGTCCATGTGCGCAAATATAGTATCACCACAGGCAAATAAGCCCTTGAAGACTTAGTTTGCTGTTTTGGTGCTAAAGCTATTTTTTCCCTTTAACAACCAGGAAGCCATTGCATCAAATTATATCATGGGTACAATAGAGCATGTTTCATTCATCATTTTATTAATGGTGTTATCAGGTGACTCCTAGGCAATGGGATCTGCTCAGTACCTATTGGCTGCTTCAGTCTCCTATGGGCCTGCCCTCTCCCTCTGTACCCTGGATGTTGTTGCATTTTGAACAGTGGGAATCATGCTTTCTATTGTCCCTGGAGGGCCTGGATCAATGAAACAGCAGTTGACCAGCAGTGGCAATAGGGAATGTATCCAGCATAGAAAGAGAAAGATCCTATGCAAATCCCATCCTTCAACTTATTAACTGTTATTTGGACTGCCAAATGTTCAGGTCGATCCAAGTCTTCAACTCAGGCTTTGGCTGAGAGATATGAGGCTACATAACGATCATCCTTTCCTGCATTATCTGTTTCCTCTTGCAGTGCCAACATTCCCCAGCTGGGTGAGGTGGCAGATGAAGGGTTGGTTTGACAGAATGCTGAACTCACAGGTCTGGCCATCTCTCAAAATGCTTAAAAAGAAACAACAACACAGCAGTTCCTGCTTCATGTCAGAGCCTAGGCAATTGGGATTGGCAGTGAGGAGAGCAAATCTAGGCTGGGTTAGCTTCTGCTATCTCACACATAGGACGAGACATTTTAAGCAAAGAGCCCATAGACATTTGTAGGCAATACTGATTACCTTTACAACAGAAGACAATAAAAGTGACTTTTGTTTTGTTGGATACTCAAAAATCTTTTGATACTATCAATCAAGTCATTTACAGTCAGGCAGCATGAGATAGGTTAAATGAATAAATTATGACTTTTATTATCATATTAATGTTATTCCCCTATTTTGGTATTCCTTCCAGAAAAAATTTTGGGAGACCTATCCACACAATGGAAGAGGAGGAGCAAGTAAGTAAGAGTACAAAAAGGGTACAAAAAGCAATGGGAAGCTTCATGTATTTGTGTTTTCCAATGCTGCATTTTCCATCTTGAATCAAGTGTTACCTTTATAGATAACTAATAACTTGTAGGGACTTCTAAAATCTTCCAACCACTATTGTGTATATCAGAGGCCTCCAAACTTGGCAACTTTAAGACTTGTGGACTTCAACTCCCAGAATTCTCCAGCCAGTTGAAGTCCACAAGTCTTAAAGTTGCCAAGTTTGGGGACCCTGGTGTATATAATAGTAACAAAGCTGGGCATTCTTCCCCTTCAGCATTAGTTAGGTGACAAAAGACCTTTCCAATTTTCTGAGGTAATGCTTGAGGAGAAAACTGTAATAAGAATTTTGCTGCCCCGTTATTAATCCTTATCCTGCCTCTGCTGCCTTTGCTTCAAGTCATTGCAGCCATTGCTGTCTTTCTTTCGAAGAAATGAGTTACAAGGTCTAAATGCTTTTGCCATATTCAAAAGCAGACGTCTGCAACCTTGGCAATTTTAAGACTTTCAGTATGGCTGGCTGAGGAATTCTGGGAGTTGAAGTCCACAAGTCTTAAAGATGCCAAAGTTGGAGGCGCCTGTTCTAAAGCTCTGTTACCCCTTAGAGGTAGTCTAGACAAGAAATGCAACTATTAATACTAACTCTATCTTTATTGTAAGGCTACCCTAACAAAATCTTGTACAACAAAATATTTCTCCCTGTTTCTCTCCAGAGAACTACTTTTTTCCATGCCTCTTCTTCTGTGGACTGAGAAATCTTTTTATGTGCAGGTGCCTGCAGCAGCTTTTCCTCCCATTTCCCAAGGTCATTCTCAGATACCATTAAGTAGTGTGGTGGCCTAGAGGTGGAGCTCTTGCCTCACAATCAGGAGGCTGGAGTTCAATTCTAAACAGAGGCAGATATTTCTCTCTCTGGGCACACTTAAAATATATCTGCTGAATGTCAGGAAGGGCGTCCAGCCATTAGAACATTCTGCTAGCTCCATTCACTTGCCCAGACTCCACCCCACAAGGGATTATGGGATTGTTAAAAGATGATGATGACTCTCAGATACCATTAAAAGCTGCTATTGGATAGTGGCAGCTTAAGCAGAAACACTTTGCTTTAACTCTGATGTTTAAGTCATTAGCTTTCATGGTCTAAGGACAAGATGAAACCAGCATCATGGGAACATGGCAGCACAAAAATGTTGCCATAGGTATTTGTACTAGGTTAGATGATAATGGGGAAAGACTATAAGATTATATAGCTTCATATGGCTTTATTGTAGTGTCTTCTAACATCACCCAACCATTGCTATGCTCAGAAATATCAACAAAAAAAGAGAGGCTTTTTATTGTTACAACAATGGCTGGGTGAAACTATAAATTACAACTTGGGAAGTAGCCTCGGTAGAATGAAAATGCCATGGTTCAGTTCCTCTAGCCTCCATTCTCCAAATGCCTCTGAATGAGATGTGCAGCTTTAAGACATGAAACAGCAATGCTGCTTTAAGGACCCCTTATATTCTATGGTAATAAGGAAACAGCTTGCCCTATCATACCTTTTCCTTGCTACAAAGATGTGCTTATACAACTTTTTCCTGCTTAATCAAGCAAGTCACCCTAAAAGTGTATGTTGATGTATGTTCTCCACCTCATTGCATGCCATATATTTATACCAGATCAACCAATTCAGACTGTAATTATTGCAAGTGGGGCACTAATGTGACAGATAATAAACTTTTTCTCGATGATTATCATTAATTGCTTATAATTAACTTTGGATGGGTAATATTTTGATGACTGGGGACTACACATTTTTTTTCTATGAGAGAAAACTGCAGGTAGGGAGGAAAGCAGATGAGACATTCACAATAGATGAGCCAAGATTCTATACTTCTCCAGGGTACTTCCTTTCCTTTTTAAAATCAGTTTAAAGATATTTTAGGACATATATTCCAGTTCCATCCCAGACCAAGAAAACCAAAATTGCTGATTCTCAACATTGGTGCACCTAAAATTTAGCAACATGATTAAACATGATTTTGGGATCTCAAAAAGTATGGAGGACGTATTATTTGAGCCATCCTGATATCCCGACAGTCCTGACAAATTTGAATTGGAGCTAAAGCTTCTATTCCAGGTTTATTCCAATATGCTGTGATCCGGATCTTTACCCCAAGGTTTCCCAGTTCCAAGAGGCAAGACCTAATATGGCATGGCTGTTAGAATTAGGATTTCCTGTTTTAAGCAACAAGAGTCCCAGTAACCCTTCCTGTCTACCTGTTTTAATAGGAAGTGCTGGAATAGATGTGGCAGGCCTGGTGGCTGGCCTGATTGCAGCTTTGGTGTCTATTGTCATGTTTATAATTGTGGCCATGTATTGCATCAAATATCGTGCTAAAGAGAGAAATCAATCCAGGTATGTGTCAAGATCCACAGGGAGGTATTTTGTGCCCACCTATGTAATAAAGGGAGTGAAAAGGGAACATAATTCTAACACTTTGAGACCAAGTAAACATGAGGTCAAAAGCATTTGATTCAAGATTAACAGTTGCATCAGTAAAAAGAACAACAGTATTATGGGGATTTATATCAGCATTCTGCAAACACAGCTGATTTCTAGATGAATCAAACTATAAATCTGATAATTTTTAGCTGTGTGTATATTTTCCAAAGTGTATGTCTTTTTGAAGTTGATGTCTTTACACAGTTGTTAAAAATACATTATTAAATTACAGTTTCCAGTATCCCCATCCTGCATAAATCTTTCATGAATTTCATGTGAAATAATTTGTTGAAATTGATAGTTTTCTCAACCTTTTTCCTTTCATGTGAGTTATTGGACTAAAATTCCCTTAATTTCCAAACAGCCTATATGCTTTCTAAACAGCTGATGAAAAGTTTGCTATTTTTTTGTTTTGATTAAGTGAGGCTTACAGACAAAAAGGCTGTGAATTGTTTTAGAGGTGTTTTTTTTCAACCTCAGTCTCTATTTCCTTTCAGAAGAACACAGGAAAATTTGAATCCAGGGATTCCCCTTGCCAACTTTGATGATGAGCCTAAGCCAGAATCTGCACCTGGGCTTCCTTCTTATGAGCAAGCAATGGCATCTCCAGGGGTACATGATGCACCACCCCCACCTTACAACAGGTAGAATTATCATTGGGATCTTACTTCAAAGTTCTAACATTATCTAGGGATTATGGAACTGGATATAGAGGGAAAGGAAGGTTTGAGACTCAGGCTGCTTAAAGAGAGTGTGCAATAAAGATCAAGATCCTATCTGAACTGAACCTTGGAAAACCTTTTCAAGGAAAGTGCTTTGGATTATGCAGAAAGCCTTATTCCTGCATGAACCTACAACAGACCAAAGGCCTTTGTTCTCAAGAGGAAAGGCAGTACTGGAGTTGACAGGAAGTTCAGAATCACCAACAGAGCTTATATTAGCCTCCAATGTGGGGATGGGAAACTACAGATTTTGAACTTCCAGGAATCTTCATCCCTACCTCTGCTGGCTGGAGCTGATGGGAGTTTAATTTAGCAACATCAAAAACACATATGAATAGGGGTGAAGGCACAGGTTTCCTTTCCTTACTCTGTCTCTAGGGAACTGGAAGAAAAAAATATCATTCTCCTTAGGAGAAATTAGATTCATTCACTCTACTTCGATCAGAAAGAGAAAATAGTTTTAAAATTACCAATTCTCCCCACTCCTAAGTCCAAGCAATGTGTGTATAATACCTTCCGTCTCTTCTAGACTTCTGCTCATTAGCAATTCTTATTTGATCCATTAACATGTAGTTTCCACACTATTTATGGATCATGGATTCTGTCTAGAGCTCTACAAACCTAAAGGACAGAAGAATTTGCTATTTTTCAGCAACAAAAAAACTTTTCAGAATGTACCGCATTGGATCATTGGGAAAACACACTACCTAAAGCTCTTTTCAGATAGAAAACAAATGTGACATGATTAACAGTGACAAGAATGCCAGGCTGTTATCACAGTACGGAACAGTAGCACACAATGTAACTTTCATCTTTCATTGGCTCTGGCTGCAAAATTGAAAGTTGAAAAAAACTTCATATTTGTATGAGTGTGGCTATGCACACATATACATGCATACATGAAAATAACAGCAGCATCTTTTTCTTTAATTAGCACTGTAAAATTGATGGGGTCATAAAAATTGTAGGATGCTATGCTCCAAAAAGATAGGGTATCAAAAGTAATAATTATGTGTTTTTTTTTAAGGATCAACTAAAATGTTAATTAAGAAGCAAATTCTCAAGCATATCTTTTCTTCAAGTGGGATAGCATTGGTGTGGCTACCTAGCATATTTAAGTTACTGCTAGATTTCTAGTTCTGTATGCTTAAATACTCTGATGGCAGAAATAACCATTTAAATTACTCACAATGTCCTCATTGCAATGTTGCCATGAAATATTGCACATAACTTAAATTAGTATTTGCTGCTGCCACTAGTACCAGATCAGCTCAGGATCAGCCATACTGGAGGCAGTAGAGCCAGATAAGGAGTAGATGTAAAGCAAAATGAAGATAACAGGAGGATCTTAGCTACAACAGTAAACCTCCAGATTTTCAATCTTTAATGGCCCTGAAAGTGCAGGAGAGTTAAGCAGATTTAATCAGAGTAGGCCAATCTTTTCCAATTACATTGTCTTTCAAATGTGCTGCTCTATAATCTTCAGAATTCCCATGCAGCATGCATGTTGTGGTAAGTACAACATAAATATTAGTTATGAAGAAGGAGGGAATCGTTAAGAATACTCAATTCTTAAATTTGGATCTTTCTCTCCAGGATTATGGCTACTTTTGAAATCTGACATATATGACAAAGCAAGAGACTGGCACTATATTCAGAATATGCTGCATTCAGTAGTACTTCAGTAGAGTACTACTGAAAGGGAGCCAATGATCCCTGTAGTTATGAAGGCTAGTCTTGAAGGTGGTTCAACCTGCTTGGCATTGATTGATGACTTTATTGCAGTCAAAGGGTATATCTTGCTCAAAAGGAACAGATGAGGGAAAAAGGAGGGGGGAGAGAAACTGTATATGTAAGGCTTCTGAAGCCTCCAGATAAAACCATGAATCTGAGATTGGAAGTTATGATGAAAGCCTATAAGGAACAAAGGGAAAGAAAATTCTATCAAGCTAGCAATATAGAACAGGCTGCAAAGCCAACAGAAAGCACACATTATATTTTACTGAAACAGTTGCAAAACTTTCTAGAGACAGCTATTGTATTAATAGGGAATTTTGAACTTCCTCAACATCCGGAAGTCTATTAAATCTGGAACATTTCAGTAAAATCCTGACTGGCTCTCAGAAAATAAAGGATGGAACAAAAGAACTCATACCCTGGATTTAATTCTGATCATTGGAGAACCTACAAGTGAGAGACATATATCCAACCAGTTGAAACATATGTAAAGTACAATTGTAGATAAACAGAAGTAAAAGGGCAAGGATAGAATGAAACATTGGCTTGGCCATATATAAAGGATTTAGTTGTATCAGTAACTCATAAGATTAAGATGAGTTAGCTGTATGTTACAGTTGTTAAAAATTTAATTCTATGTTATATTAATCAAAAGATAATGTTCAGCTTGAGAAATGAACACTTTCATGCTGTTTAGCACTGGCTGAACTTTATCTAATATTGAGTTAAATTTGGGTACCACATTTTTAGAAGGTCATTAAGGAATTAGATCATACCCAGAGGATGGTGATTCAGGTAGTAAAAATCCTGGAAGTCCTTCTGTGTAAAGAATTGTTGGAAGAACTATGTTGAATTTACAAAATGTTAAAATTAAATATGAGAGTAATACTTGATAGACTGTTATGAAGAAGATGAAGCAGATTTGTCCTCCGCTATTTCAGAAACAATGTCCACTGCAGAGACATAGTAGGCAAGCAGTGGTAAATGCTATTCAGCAGTAGTGCAGTGTGCCATTGGAACTTGTGAGCTATTTCATTGGATAAATTCAAGTGTGGGCTAAAAACTATCCAGATTTATTTCATATGCTGAATAACTGAAAATCTTTATTTCTTTATACCAGAGGTGGGGAACGATGGCCCCTTTATGACTTGTGGACTTCAACTCCCAGGATTCCTAAGCCAACATTCCCAAACATAATGTTAATATTTCACCTCTTCACTTTCTCAGGAATATTTTAATCCAGCTAGTTTTTCTTCATTCACCCATTTCCATGTATGACTCTTTCCTCAATTACCATGTCTTTCTTTTTCTTCAGGAATAACAATTTGACACGGCCTACCTGAGTTTTCAACAGCAGGATAAATTTTCTTGAAATACCTATTGGCCTTCAGCTGTACAAAAGACACTATGCACACACCCCTGCATCATAGCCAAGGCAGGGAGCACGTGTGACTTTGAAGCAGACAATTAATGCATACTGGATATGAATCTGCAGTATATAGAGACTGTATATAAATGTCAGAAGAGGATATTGCAGTATGTTTTGGCTGAGAAATTAAAATCTAAAATTGCAAATGTACATATCAGGTCTGATATTACAAGGTTAATGTGAATGTGAATTGCTAATTTGCACAGATTTCCTCCCCCCATTTTTCCCCTCTTCATCTTATGAATGATTTTTTTTAATGACCGTCTTTTCTATCAACATGTGATTATGCAAGGATTATATTGCGGATAAATGAAAATTATTTTTGTTTGAAGATAAACATGATTGATCGTAGCAGACTAATTAATATAACAGGAACTCCAAGCTGGGATAAGAAATCTTAAATAGCTCAAGACAGAGATTCAGTTTGGGAAAACTGTTCTGGATTATGCAAGCTCAGACATTTATTCAAGTGCATAAAGAATAGGGATATTACAAGTTGCCTCCTGTAATCGGCATGCAAAAAGAAAAAGAAAACAGGAATGGCTAGTTTGAACTATTCATTGGCACCATTGCATTTTGCCCTTGCTTGTTCTAAAGAATAGTATTTGTTATGGCAACTGACTTAGCAAAATTCATGATCTAGAACAAGGGTCTTCAAACTTGGCAAGTTTAAGACTTGTGGACTTCAATTCCCAGAATTCCTGAGTTAATATGCCTGGAGGAGGAATTCTGGGAGTTGAAGTCCACAAGTCTTAAAGCTGTCAAGTTTGAAGACCCCTGATCTAAAGAATGTTCTAAGAACAGAACATACAAGAAACTGACTTAGATCAGATCAGGTTACTTGACCATCTGGCCCATTGTTATTGCTCGACTCCTCTCTGCTCTCTAGAAGCATCAGCAGTGAAAGACTTCTCCCACCACAGCTGCATGATCCATTTAGAAATTTGGTCTGAATTAAATGTGCTTTTATTTCCATACAAAGCTGGTTCCACACCTTTAAGTTCTGTTCCCCTCTTAACCCAAAGATACACCCACCCATGCTTCCAAACTGGTCCTGAGAATTGTATTAGGGAAGGCAGATCTGAAGTACAAATTGGACAGTAGCACAGGTAATTCAAGACAAGTAGGAAATTTAGCCAGAGATGGACCACAAGTAAGAAAGTCCAATCAACCACAGAACATAGGTGGCACTTCTACAGTAATGTAAGCATGAAAGAGTGAGAACAAAACATGTTTATAAATACTTCTAAGAGCTATATTGCACAGCTGTCTGTAGCACAAGTTGAGAATGAAGTGAGAATGATGGTGTGGTTGGACAAAACACCACAACCACAGATGTTAAACTCATATCTGTCCTGCCTTTCCGCTTACTTGTCATGAAATATTGTTTGCTTGGCTGTGAGCACAATAGAGAGAACACTCCATCATAGCTGTAAGGAAGGGGAAGCAGTTTGTGAACAATTAATGTGGCTGATTAAATAAGTAGTCTGTGAATCTTTTAACATGATTTCTATGGAAAATAAAAATTTTGAAGTGTTTTTCATATGTCTGAGTGTCCTCATCAGAAGACGTTTTGGTTCAGGATTTAATTTGAACAGATTTCATATATCCATCAGAAGAAGATAGCCACAGGATTCAACATGATGCTAGATTGCCAAGACTCAATTGGCATATTGCTCAAGCAATTGCCAACTTTACTAATCATTTATGTAAAGGGGACAGCCAAAGTATCTGGCTTTAGGTTTTTCTTTCCCAAAAATCTATTTTGTGAATTTAGACTATGTTATTAGCAGCTGTTATTGTGGCACTTTCATCCCAATGTGTGGATTTGTGAAGTGCGAGTACAGGAAACTCCCACCACTTATTATTCCGTCACATTTGTGCTTTGGTTTGTTTACTAGTGGAACATAGTCCCCACCTCCTCATCATTTTAAGCAGTGTTTCACAATCTCAGCAACTTTAAGATGTGTGGGCTTATATATGCTGGGTGGGGAATTCTGGGAGTTGAAGTCCACTTAATATTGTTGAGATTGAGAAACACTGCTTTTAAGCATTATTCTTTTACTTTACTTTTCGGGAATGGAGGTAAGCCTACATTAAGGTATTGCTGGCATTCTAGTTTATTGTATTACACATGTCTCAAATTTAAAAAATTAACTTCAACAGCCAGTTTGGTGTAGTGTTGAAAGTGCTGGCCTAGAAACCTGGAAGCTGATCTGACTTTAGGAATGAATAGGGTCAGTCGCTTTATCTCAGCCCAATCCATCTCCCGGGGTTGTTGTGGGGAAAATAGGAGGGTTATGTAGTCTCACTACCTTGAACTACTTATAAAGTAATAAAGGCAGGATAACCATGTAAGTATATAAATCCTAATGATTCATCACATAAACATGGCAGTTTTTATATTGAACTCTAGGTGGCTCCAAATCACACATAAAGGTAAAAGGTAAAGGTTCCCCTGGCACATATGTATTAGTCATTGCGGACTCAAGGGAGCAGTGCTCATCTCCATTTCTAAGACGAAAAGCCAGCACTGTCTGATGATGATTCCGTGGTCATGTGGCTGGCATGACTAAATGCTAAAGGTGCATGGAATGCTATTACCTTCCCACCAAAGTGGTCCCTAGTTTTCTACTTGCATTTTTACATGCTTTCGAACTGCTAGATTGGCAGAAGCTGGGACAAGTAACAGGAGTTCACTGCATTATGTGGTGCTAGGGATTCGAACCGCTGAACTGCCAATCTTTCTGATCAACAAGCTCAGCATCTTAGCCACTGAACCACCCCATAATAGCACATAACAATTGTTATGGTTTGGCACATAAATATATGCTGCTATTAAAAGTCCCCATTTCCCAATATCCATAGATAAAGGAATTTTCTACATATCCATGTTTGATCTTATGAGCAGATCACTTAGCTTGTGCTGAAATATAGATCTCTGAGAAAATAAGTCCTTCAGTTTTGTCCAGCAAAGAACTTTTGCTTTATTGAATTCTTTTTTTCTTTTTTAATTTTTATGGTACTAATTATCATTTCAGCTGTATGGATTACTTCAACGTAACAAATAGCAATAACAATAGCACTTAGACTTATATACCACTTCACAGTGCTTTACAGCCCTATTGCTCCCAATAATCTGGGTCCTCATTTTATCCACCTCGGAAGGATGGAAGGCTGAGTCAACCTTGAGCTGGTGAGATTTGAACTGCCAAATTGCAGTCAGCTAGCAGTCAGCAGAAGTAGCCTGCAGTACTGCAGTCTAACCACTGTGCCACCACAGATCATGAATGCCCCATGAAAATGCCCCATTTTCATTTTTTCTGGCAACTGGGATGTCTTGTACCACAGATCAAATCTGAGAACTCTAATTTACCAGGAAGAACTATGTTCCTGAATGAATCCCAAATATTTTTTCTAAATAGTCTTCCCCAAACTCGTGCCTTTCAGATATGCTTGAATGGTATTTCGAAGGGTTTCCAGCCAACATGACTCTTGTTGGAGACTTCTGCAATGATCTCTTAGAAGTAGTTAGCTCCTTGTATTCTCCAAAGGTTTAAGTTCCTCAGCACATAACTCAAAATTCAGTGATTAGTATCAATCAAACAAAGAGCGTAAAAAATAGATTTATTTCATCATAAATGTAAATAATGCAGCAAAACCAAACCAAGTTAAACACAGAAAAGACCACTGGGGGTACTGGAGTCCTGTTACATTTTCCAGGCCACAGCCAGATAGTTGTATTAAAGTGTTCCTCAGTCAGAACTGATAGATAAGTATGCCAGCATAAATTTCCCTGTTGCCATGGTTGATTGCCATTCTGCCTGAATAGTGCAGTTTTTTCCCCCAAGAAACTGTCGGATAACTCTGGCAGAATTTCCCCCCCACCCCTCAAGCAACATTTGTCAGCCAGGAAAAGCAATAACCTATTGCTCTCCTTAATGCATAGTGAATAGAGAACACAGAAAGATGCTTAGAAAGATGCTAGTTTAGACCCATGTCAAGTTACCCAACAAATGGATCATCCTTTCAGAAGTAATATGTATCTATGTATTATTTGGGCTACTTCTGAACAGAGATCTAGTGCTTTTCTGAAAGAATGCTAAACTCATGTGCCAAAATAGCATGGTTGACAGGGCACAAGCATGAAAGAAGGTGGAAGGTAAAGTGGGAACGAGTGATCTGAGAACAAGCTCTGTTCATTGAATTTCAAGGATGTGGCACTATGGCCATTGCCAGCAGCAACTGTAAATTGCCTATGGTGTTAGCAAAGTGGCAATGCTCACCTCACCAAATTTAAAAAAAGTGTAATCGCTGTGCCAAACACCTTGTTGAAATAGTGGAAAGCATGTAATGTACCCGGTGCAGTTGGCGGAAACCAGCACTCTTTTCTGATTTAAACTGGTTGGTGATGCATAGAATTAGTGCTCTTTTGAAAATACTATTCCTGTTTTTTAATCACAGATCTAGAGATCCTTCAAAAGAACATTAAACCTATGTATATAAGGAGACTGCAAAAATTCTGACAAGGGCTTTAGTAAATGCTTCTCAGGCATTATGCGGACAGATATATCTTCAGAAGCCAAGTAAAACAACCACATTGGATAATGAAAGGGATAATGAAAGGGATTTGAAACAGCTTCAGTGTCCAATAAGAGTTTGGTAAATCTCAGCTCTAATTCATTATCATCAGCTACAAAAGTGAAATGTGATAAACTGCACTCACAAAATTTTGGGAAGAAGAAGAATAACTAATCTAAAACTGGAATGCCTAAATATGATGTAAATCTAGTCAAAGCTGTGGACTGAAAGGAGAACAAAGGCATAAGGATAATTAGTGAAGCATGTTGATGTTATAACTGAGGGGACAAGAACAGCCCTTAGACTCAAACTTGTGTGATGGAGCATATTCATTAGATATCAGAAATATGGAAAACTCTATTGTTCCATTTATTAGCAAATAATTAATTTATGATTATTAGCATACTAGTTTATCCAATCTCACACTGATTTTTACTGCATTCTGATCGTCTGTGTTTCTGTTTGTTTTGTTAAAACAAACTGGAGGAAAGAAACAACACTCACACATTGTTCTAAGTCATTGTATGATTTGTTTGTGGTTTATCTTGACACATGAAGCCAATATATAAGAAAACCTCCATCTCCAATAACAAGCAACTTCAGACATGCTAATTTTCTGGATGATTAAGGGAAAGAATTTCCTATAATTCATTTTTACTCTGAATGGGTATCAGTTAATAATGTTACCTTAAAACACAGGCTATGTTATGGTAGATAGGGGGCTACTATTCCCAAGACCTTTTTAGAAGAGGATTCATGGTGACCTTGGTGAATAAGATATCTAAAGAAATCCTCCTTTTCTAGCCAAGGAGACATAACAAGATTTTCAAGTTACAAATGAAAAACTAATTGTAGACGCAGTGCATCCCTTGCCATTCCACTGACCACTGCAGTCTAAAAAGTACATTTTACATTGATGACCTGGGAAGAAGCGAATAATACATGAATTTGAATCCAGAAGGTAGGTTCCCTGTTTGATATTAGCAAATAGTCCTACAGAAACATTGGCAGAAGGAAAAACTCCTAAACCACAGCTCCTAATCCCTATGCTAATAAATTTGACTATTGAAATGTCCATGCATTCAACCACTCTGTACATTCTGGTGTGAACCCACCTCTAAATGAGAACAGGTAGTTCTCATGTATGACCGTAATTGAGTCCAAAATTTCTATTGCTTAAGTGAGATATTTGTTAAATGAGTTTTGTCCCATTTTGCAACCTTGTCACAGCTGTTAAATGAATCATTATAGTTGTTAAATTAGTAACCAGATTGAATCAGGCTTCCTCATTGACTTTGTTTGTCAGAAGATCACAAAGGGTGATCACATGACCCCAGGACACTGCAACCCAAGCGTCTAAATTTTGATCATGTGACTATGGGGATACTGCAACAGCTGTGTGAAACATAGTCACAAGTGATTGTGCCATTGTAACTTCAAATAGTCATTAAATGAATTGTTGTAAATAGAGGACTATCTGTATTTATGTGGCCAATCCAGAATCTTCATATTGCTTGCCAATCAAAATAATTGATATTGTACAATGCTAATTCCTGCCTGAAGGGGGCTCTAAACACACACAATCTGAGCTAGCACAAAAGAGTAATTTAAATACTATAGACCATGAGGTGTGAGCTGTGGATGTTTCTACATTAATTGTATAATTCTGTCTAATGAGTGTAAAAGCTAATAAGCTTTTGGATGAAATCACTCTTTGTAGTTACAGTATAAGTGATCCAGGACATCCTTTTGCTAGACAATTGTCAAACACTGTATCCAGTCAAGAGCCTTTTTTTCCTTGAGCACTTTTACCTGAGGCCTAAATAATCAGTTATTCTTTGGTCCAGTAAAAAAATAAAAGATCAAACTATTTAAAGTCTCTGCTAAAAGATAACTCTGGTAAACTTTGGTTATTTTATTTCAGGTTAAAATATTTTAAATCACTTAAACTGA